TCCTTCTGTGGCATAAAAATCCTACACAGTTACTATGTTTCACCTCATGATCATTTGTTTGTATACACTGAAATCACTTGTTGATTTTGTGTTATTCTTAAAGCAGGTGCTCTCAAAATCTGACATGAGAAGTTAAAAATTTTCTAGCTCAAATCATTAAAAATATGGTAATTCAATCTTTCAATTTAAAAAAAATGAAATATATACTAACATTGCTTATTAGATTCAGAAAAAAGTTAACATTGCTGAGAAAAAAATGATTCGTTAAGTACTCCTCTAGCCTTATTTATAAGTCACTTCTAATATGTTTTACACAAATCAAGAAAAACCTTAAACTTCATTGACTCTCATTTAAAATTCAACAACTTTTCAACTTTATCTCTATTTAATATATATTGTATTTCATATAAATAAAGTCAACATGATAATAAATTAAGGATAAAATTGTACATCCATATAAATGAAAGATAAATAGGACCAAAAAATATATTCTCTTTTTACCCTATAAATGGAACCAGAAGAGTAACATCTAGATACTTGCACATATAAATAGTGAGCATTAAGTCAATTAACAGTAATCTTTGCGTTCTTTAAAATCATAACTCACTCATTAATGCACTCATCTTTTTTTGAACCCTTTTTAAGGCCAATCATTCAATATCGATAAAGATGAACGTTAAATAAACTGTGAGCCAATTAGAGAAGTTTTCCCAATGTGGTTTTGGATAGTAAACCAGGCTGAAATCCAACTAATTTGAATTCAAATTCAAACTAGGTCAAATTATTAACGGAGATTGTCTTCCAATGATATTTTCTACATTTACATGGATTCAAACTCAGGACGTCAGTGTTTAAACAACTCCAACCTCTTCCGCTGGGATCATGGCTAAAAGATGTTGAATTTCTGAATCCTCTATTTGATCCAACTGTCATTGGTTATATTTTACTTTTGGTTATCTATTTACATATCAATTACAGTAAGAAAAATATGGAAGAAAGAGAACTATATTTTAAAAATAAAGAAATCTCTGAGGAGAATTTGAACCCCGATTTCAAAGGACTGAAAAATAAGATAAATTTTTTTAGGATTATAGTTATTTGATATCCACCTCATTCATCTTTACTTTGGATGAATAAATTAACATAAATTTGTGTCCCTAAAGAATATGATGGAATAACTCCGACCAGCACTAGGAGAGATAAATGGAAGTGTTGCTTGAATTGGAAATTTGTTACAAACACCCATAATTCGTAAACTAGCAATTTACTCCCTCCTTAAAGTTTTATCAATTGTTTTTCAAAGAAGTTGTTTCTATTTATTTGTCATTTTTAAAATTTAAGACTATTAATTTCTTTTCTTTTTTTTCCTTTTCAATTATATACCCTTATCTTTGATCAGACAACTCTCAACCAAAGAGCTCCCTTCTTCCATGATAAATGCATGAACCAGTAGAAATGTTTATTTTAATGCTAAATATAAAATTTCAATTCACTTCATTTTTTAAATTTATAATTTTTTTTTGTCAAGAACAAAGCTTTCCATTAATAAATATTTTTAATGCAAATAACTAAGACGGAACATTTTAGAAAAATCACTAGAATTTTTTAACAAACAACCAACATTGAAGAAAGGTTAATTGTATTCTGTGGACACTCGAATGCATTGGCGACTAGCATGCTCGCTTAGCTTGGTGGATTGTGCAAATTTTTTCTTGACCAGCGCGTGGATTGTGCAATTGAAAACTTGCTAAAAATAGCTTTATACTACTCCTCCGGTCCTAAATGTAAGACCTTTATACTAGTGTGTATAAGGGTCTTACATTTAAGACTGGAGAAGTACCTCCTATCCTAAATATAAAAACTAGTTGACTAATTTAAATAGATTAAGAACAAAAATTAAGCTAGGTATTTATAATAATAAGTATTGTCTTTCCTAAAACATCTTTGTTAATCAAGTGTATTGGATAAAACTATCATTATTAGAAAAACTATCTTAAAAAAAATATAAATATGAGAGATAAAATAAATTGGAATTATATATTTAGGACCAAAATAATAATCAAACAAAGCCTCATATCAAAAGCCAGAGGCGATATACAAATTTTATTTGATGAATCATTCTCCATTGCAAAATACCACATCCTCCTTGATACTACTTCAATTCTTAATATAAAACTCAATTCACTAATTTAGAGATTAAAAATGTTACTAATTTACTTTAAAGTATTTAGGATTGTCATTTTTTAAAACTAAATTGCATTACTTATATATATTCTAATAATACACATAATATTTAAAAGATTACAAAACATAAGCTATAATTATGTAATTCAGTAAGGGATAAGATGCTTAAATACCCTACAAATATCCACCTCAATTTTTTTTTTTAAACTTTCATATGCCCTTAAAGCTTTACTTCACAACATTTTTTTCCCAGAATTGTTATCCATCATTAAATTCGCCATTAAATTTGATCATTTAAAAAACCAATCAGACCACATATTTTTGCTACAAAAATAAACTTCATGTACATAAAAAAGCAAAAAAAAAAAAAAAAAAGCTTTCAGGTACTAAATACTCCCTATACTCACAGGGTATTTGAGCATCTTACCTCAATTTAGTAACTTCTTTAATCTCTCCAAATTAATCAACCATGCGCTATATTAAGGATTCAAGCTAATGTAAGAGTTAGATAACTAATTTAGTACCTAAATAATCATCTACAAATGATTTAAATTATAATATTAAAAAAAAACAAGAAACAGCGTGAATTAAGCTGTAACCAAACCCTCTATTAGTTTTTGCACAAAAAACCGGAGGTAATACTATCAGATTATTTTTAAGACCCTATTTACGTTGACATGCTTATACATGCATATACGAGGGTTGAATCATTACCAGAGGTCCCTTAAAGTAGCCAAAAGTGCAGCAAACATCTCAATTTCACTCTATTCCGGTGATATGGAATAAGTGGGACAAAGCAATGTCTCATTTACATGGAGAACCCCAAGATCTATGGTTTATGTTACCTTCTAATTATAAAACCTCATTTGGTATATTATAGACGAAGTCTTATAATTAGAACTAGTAATATTATTTTTAAGAGATCCTACAGATAAATTGCTTCGGCATAAAATGAAAAATAGCCCAGTACCAAATGATAGGGAATCCACATTCTCATCAATCTTTGGTAAAATGAAGTCCACCACAAGCATTCATAAACCGCTTTCCCATAATTCTTAGCAAATAAACCCAGATTTGTTTTTTTTTTTTTTTCCTTTTTTGCCAACAAACCAAGATTTGATTTAATTATACATTCCAATCAATTTATCTCTCAACTTCATTTCCGTGAAGCAGACTTTGGAAAGTTTTAGAACAAGGGATTTGCAAATCCTCCATACATAAAATTGTTAAATCCATCTTTATAGTTTAGACCAATTATTCCATGACTAGTCCCTGTAAATGTCAGCAAAACAATCCTCCAAAATACTGACAATAACATTTCATGAGACAAGACAAGAACAATATAACTCATTTTGTAAACTCCATATAATATGCTGGACGGGTGTTATGCTTTAAAAACTAAAAATTAATAAATAATACTCCTCTAGTCGTAAATGTAAAACCTATTATGTAGTGTAACGAATCTCACATTTAGGACCAGATAAGTAATAATTACAAGAATAACAGAATATAATAGACAGACCAGAACTGTTGCCTTCTTTTTTCTTTTTCTTTCTTTTTTAATTTCCCTTTCATTGACAAACTAAACGTGCTCCTAAAATTCCATAATTTTTGAATGAGAAATCATCCGCAGTACCCACCCCCCTGAAAACATTAAAGGGAAGAAAATCTTTGCATGATATTTCTATCGCTACTTCAAAAGCAGAAAATCTACAGTGGAGATCAAGATTATTATACAGAGATATCCAAGGTCAAAACTGGGAACTACAAGGAAGACGAAGGCTACAGTTTTGCAAAAATTAGTGAAATTATATCAAATAATCAATCTACAAAAATAGTTCAATTTCAGCAAATTTTACCTTGCATCCAACTTTTCGTCAATCAACAGCTAAATTCACCTTCAGGATAATATTTGGTCAATTCAGTACCAATTCGGTATATAAAATTGGAAATATCATGCATACTGCGACCATCAAGATCCAAAAGTTCTTATGATGAAGTATACTATGAACAAAGTCAATCATTGCTAGCAATCAAAAACAGACAGTAACAATGGGGCATAGATTAAATGCCAGACACAGTAAAGAAATTTATACCACTCGTGAACAGAATAAAAGGTGAGGATATCAAGATGGCAATTTTATAACTACCATTTTACTACACCTAATGCTTCCCAAAAGAACCAAACCCATGTTGAGGATTTCTCACCAAGCTTGATTCATTTGCGTATACCACAAGATTTTAGGGAATGAATGGAAACATTCTATGTTGAAAAGTCGATTATTTATGGGGTTTTTGCAGAGGTAAAAGTTACCCCTTAAGGGATTTTGATAAAGAAAAATCAGTGTTATATGGTCTCATAAGTAAGAAGATTGCTACAACAAAAGCAACTCCTGCCACTTGGCTTTAAAAGGTTTTAAAAGGTTTGGACGTTCATAATACAATCCCTTGAATTTGCTCAACCAGGTTTGACAAGGTAAAAGCATGTTTTTAAAGCTCATAGCCCCAGAAACGAAGCAAAGCATTTTCCCCAGAACACTGTAACTTGTATGAGAAGGAAAAAGAGCTACAGCCAAGAATTTTCAAGTTCATAGCCACAGAAACATTGATATGCTAACTCTCAGGGACAACGGCCTCCCTTAGTAGCAAGCCCCTCAGATCTTATTTTAACTTGTTAATAATTTGCAATTAATACGCATACTCTCGTCAAATACCATACAGAACTCCTCTTGCAATTCAGCCATCGCTTTTCTTAACCATACTGCTTCAAAACCTCTAAAGAATATGTCTCCAAGTATCTTATATCACCATGGCAATGCAATATTAAAAACAGGCGCGTTAATTTGAAACACTAATATCACAATATTCCTAGAGCAACTAATTTGTTGTTATAACGACTGTCCTACTGGAACCAAATTGTAATCCCAATAAACTGATATTACTGGATCCAGCAATGTATATATATTAAGAAAAGGCCCGTTACAATATGCTTTTTACTTGCCAAACACGTAAGAAGAAAGAATGGGATCAGGGACGAAAACTGAAAAACCAGCCTGGCTCTGTCCTCATCCCTGCCCAAAACTGTTGATGAACAGGAAGCCATAACAGCTACCCATGCTAGAAACAAGGGCATTTGACTTCACTTGATCATGCCATTAATGACTTATAGTGATGTGCTTCTCCTTTTAACAAGGTTAAACAGCCCCTCCACTGGTTATGACAGATCATGATCATTTCCTATTACTCTTCTCTATTTCCATCTTTATGTAATCTATTTCTTTCCTTCCTGCTGTAATTTTCTTTCCTTCTTTGCTGCAGACAAACAGCCAATTCTTAGCAATTGCTTCAGTAATTTGGGACTTGTTTGGATTTACGTTTACAAAATTGACTTCTAGCCCAACTTCATTTTGCAAAATGAAGGCAAGGCAAAAGTCAATTGGTGCAATTTTGGATAAGCTTTTCTTAAAAGAGTCAATTTGACAAATCAAACTTGCTTGGATGTTATAATCAAAATGTATGTTTGGATGTGAAATGACTAAAAAGAACATCAGTTTTATAAAATATATTTACGTGTGTTGGTTATAACTTTAAGATAGAAATTAAACTAATGTATTATTTAGAGAAACATTTGTAAATGCTAACTTGATATATTTCATAGATAAAAATGTATGTATATATATATATATTACAAAACAAAAGAATGTCAAGTTTTTTTAAATAATATTCGATAACTAGTTGGATTTCATATGCTCAATAAGTTGATCTCTAATAACGTCATGAATACGATTCATTTGTCTTGAAAATGATATAGTTCAATTTGACAAGGATACCTCACCAACTTAATTATTCTCTTGTTCAACTATATATTCATTTCCAACTTCTATAACTTCCACATCAATTTCAAGATTTCTCCCGTTAAATTATGCACTGCCATTGTTGCACAGATTATGTGAACCTCAGCACAAGCTGTGAGATTGCAAACTTCTTCCAAACCCCAAACGTCATTTTTATAGTGCAAATCTCAATTCTCACCTCAAGTCTGAAAGGTGATAGCACTCACATTTGTTCTCAATAGGTGTTGGATAGATAGCATTAACCAAATAATATTTTGCTAATAAACAATGAAAGTATTTGACAACAAGTGTGAAATTAATGCAAATATAAAATGAACTGAAGCCAGAAAGATTAACCACACATCATATCATATGTGAGTGCCACCAATTGCTCCTATTGATCCCAAAAAAATGGCCAATATTGTGAATCATTTCTGATTTTTGCATGACATCAAAAAACACAGGATCACGTAGCTTGATGTTTTCCTTAGATAAAGGTAAGCACCTAGCATAGCATGAAATTACCTACTTACAGTTTTTCCTTAATGTTGAAATCTTTCTTGTATCATTCTATTATCTATTCCATGTCTAACAACATTGAAACCATTTTTTCAGCTCCCATGTGCTTAAAACCTTATAACCCATGTTCAGTCAATTTGAAATATAACTAATTGAATATTTGTTTTTCCATCTAAAATATTTTATGACAACATCATAGATGCCCTAATAAAATTTCTTCGGCGCACATAAAGCATCACATATTAACACAGTAAGCACACCTCCTCCTACATGTGATGCCTTATCTGCACCTTGTGCGCACAAAGAGCCACGTAGAACTAGTGAACAAACAGGTAGTCACATGTCAATAAATTTTACAAGCGCATCCATTATACTGTCATGAAATGTTTCAAATGAACAAACATATTTTCAACTAGTTATGCTCTAAAATGGTTGAACATGGTTACAGAACTCTAAGTACAAGAGAGTTGAAGAAATGGTGCAATGTCGTTGAACACGGTTAAACATGGAATAGGTAATAGAATGATACAAGAAAGATTTCAACATTTGAGAAAAACTATAAATAAGCGATTTCACATCACATTAGATACTTACACTATCTAAAAAAAATATATTAAGCCACATAATCCTACGTTTCATGAATACCATGCAAAAATAAGAGATATTTATTATATTGACCATTTTTCAAAGATGCAGTAGAAACAATTGATGGCACTCACATATCATGTGCTTCTAGTCTTTTTGTGCAGCCAAAGTTTATCGGGAAAAAAACATATGCAAAACAGAATGTTGTGGCTGTATGTGATTGAGTATGTACATTACTTCCATATTAACTGGCTGGGAAGGAACTGCACATGAAAATGACACTCATTTATTTGACAATGCTATCCCAACTCTATTCATGAATTTTCCCCATCAACCTCAGGCTTCCTTCAACTTCAATTTATTTTATATTTGCATTGTTTCACATTAATTGTTACAATAATTCGAATATTTATTAGTAAAATATTTTTTGGCCAATGCTAGCCACCAATATCTATGTTCGTAAGGATACAAACACTATCAACTAATTGGCAAATGATAGCAAGATTTTAATTATTATCATTCAAGGTGCACTATAGAAAAATCTTTAGAATTTGAAAAAATAGGTTTCTAATCTTATGATATATGCATAATTCAAGTGTCAAACACAAATACATATAAAATTTGTGCAACAATGACTATACATGATTTTATTAAAAAAAATTCTGGAACTGAGGTGTAATTCATATAAGTTGACGATGAAAGTAAAATTGAGCCAGAGAATAATTGTCAAGTAGGTGAAGCAACCTTAACAAATTTAGCTAAATCATCTTTAAGACAGATAAATTATGTTTGTAACATAATTAGAGACCAAATAGCACGAGATCTAATTAATTATATAATATCATTTGGTTAATTTCACATTATTATGATTTGTGACTTGTATACATTTGCATCCATTAAATATATCTATTAAGTATTTTTCAGTATTAACATGTTTTTCCAATAATACATTAACTCTCTTATCTTTATAATTTTAATATCCTCTTAAAGTTATCAAATTATCCACATGATATATATTATAAAACTCATGCTTCTCAATTATTTTACATCTAAACTTGCTTTTCAATTACACCATCCCAAAAAAAAAAAAAATCCATTTTTGTCAAACTAACACTTTTTAAAAGTGCATTCAGACATAAATTGCATTACACTAATTGACTTCTATCCCAACTTAACTTTGCAAAATACAATTGGGAAAAAGCCAGTTTTACAGTCATTAATCTAAATAAGCCCATAATTTTTGGGCTCAAATTGGCTTTGAAGCTTTTAAAGTTGCTTTTGGGATAACAAAAGTCAACCCGAAGCTCCTATTCTCTCCCTCCTTTTTGCTGTAATTATCTGTCAAGGAGTCTAAGCTTTTCTTTTTCAACCTATATTCCGATTTATACCAGCTGAACTCTATCAAAATCAAACAAAAGAGTACTCTATATTATTTTTTCCCTCTTCTGCCCCAAGATGCTGAAATGCATAACAGTACAAGCTCTATGCAAAACAACCAGACCACCCGATTCTAAGATGCATACCATTTTTTTCTCACTCGTACTCAATGGGAAGAATGAGTCAATAAATCATGTCTTAGAATCACGACAGGGAAAGTTAAATTTATGCTGAAATTTTCTGTAAATGATGATTCATGATTGCAAATCCATTCTCCACTTTCCATTGTTTCAAAGTACCAAAAAATGGTAAATCTTGCTGCTAGGTTCACAAATTTTGTCCACTACACAACCATGATAATTATACAACTACAATCAGGAATTCAATGAATAGCTGAAAAAATAAGCAATTTCTTTCTCAAAACAAATGGTGTACATAATAAACAAAGCTAATGCTTTGAAACCCAAAGGAAAAGAGAATTGAAGATGAAAAATCAACTGCCACCATTCCTAAAATAAAAGGCAACTCTGAAAGCCGCTAAAGCACATAAACAGCATAAAGAAAAATTGAGATTGTGGCAAATATAATAAGTACCTCAAGAAATTTGATAATTTCTAGCCAAAGACGCCTCCAGACTTTAGAGAAGACAATAACCATATGAGGATAAGAAGTGAACTACAGCATGTGACCATTCTAGCCGGCTACCTTTATTGCCCCCAATTCGCTGATTTTCGAGCTCTTGTGCTGCAATAAAATTTTTAAAAAAATGAAAAGAAAAATTCAATAAAGAAACAACGAGAAGCCACAAGAAAATAGTATTGATGTACAAAGAAGGAAAAGCACCAAATAAACAGAAGGAAATGCTACAAAGGTTTTCACTTCATTACCTTACTTTTTTTGTGTTTGTGTACATCAATAATATCTTCATCTCCATCATGCTTCCTTTTCTGTGATCATACGGACGGAAAAAAAAAAATTGTACAGAACAATGTTTTCCCATCATTTTGAAACACAATAAAACAAATCCTCTTATTTCCTCTTCAAATGATGACATCAAACCAAACCCACGTCCTAGATTAGATCTTTATTCACAAGCAACTAAGGGTTGACAATATCAATAAAACTTAAAATTCATAGATAACCAAAACGCACAAATTTCATAAGATATTCAATGAAGAAACTAATTCATTTAATCATAATGTGAAATGACAGCATCAAGATCTAATACTTCAGAATTCTGAAAGAGAAAAAGGTATCAGCAGAGAAAAATTCCTCAACCTTTTCATGGTGCTTCTTGCCATGATCAGCACTGGAATCATGATGATCACTCTTATCCTTCTTTTTTTCCTTGTCTTTATCTTTGCTTCGGTCTTTATGACGATGCTTGTGCTTCTTATGCTCTTTGTCCTTCTCTTTGTCCCTGTCCTTGTGCTTTTTATGCTTCTTCTCCTTGTCTTTAGACTCAATTTTTGATTTTCCAACAGTGGTGGGAACCCCCTTCTCGGCCTATGAATAAGATGACAAGAACAATAGTCTATGAGGTATATAGAACAATCATGTAATGGCAAAATGAAGTTCAAAGTTTCTTACCGGAGGCAAATCAATGGAACCTGTTTCCCTTAGTTGAAAGGCTTCCTTTAGAACATCTAAGTCAAAAGGCCGTATACAAGCACTTGTATCTCTAGAAAAGGATGAGTTTTGAATAAGCTGATCCAACTGCAAATTATCTCCTCTTCTAATTTCTGTGTCTCCCACGACATTGTAAAGATAATGTGAGTCCAAAATTGACTCAGGAAGTGACCTTTTGCAGAAAAAGTCATAGTGGGGTAGTAATTTGAAATGATTTACAAGATCCGCAGCCCCTGTCAATTCCCTCGGTCCTAATTGTTGAAATAACATTGTATGAATTCAATGAGAAATACATTAACCAAAGAAAAAGCTGTAGGTGATTTCACCCATAAATTGTTAAAAGAAGTCAGATCAAGAATATTAGAAGGGTCCAATTCAAATTGGAAAAGCCAACACAATTAAAATGAAACAATGGATTTTAAGCAAAATGGAGAGGACTCATTAGACTAAGATAGGATTTAGCTTTGGCTGAAATTCCTAAAACAGATTCTTATGGCGTTCTATATTTACAATTTCCTAGAGTCTTCAAACAAAATATTCAAAAGAAGAATACAAAACATGAGAAAAAATACAGAACAATAATGATAAAATGTATTTCATGACCCAAAAAAATTGAGGAATTTCATTTATTATAACATGCGTCACACAAAAATGCTTCAGTCCACTCATACTGTCAATTACGCAGTAAACTTGATAAGAAGAGCATCACATGCATAACCTACACACATTAATATGAAATTTTATGCTGAAAGTAAGAGGATTATGATGTACCTCTACAAGCTTCTACTTTATTTATGATATAAAAACAGATATTAAATAATAAGTAAATTAGAAAATAACTGACTAGATCCTAACCAGCATTGACTCAATAATAAACAAATCCTAATTGAGATATTTATAAATAACATCTTTATTATTTGTAACAGAAAATAAATTAACAACTCCTCAAAATTATGCTACACTAATTTCACCCACAATGCTATATTATATGGTACTCTATCAAAGGCTTCAAGAAAACTAAAAGCCTATCATACTCATTATAGCCAAGATATCCCCAATGTCCTCATAAACCACTTACGGCTGGATCAACTTCAAGTGAAGGGACGTAAGGATCTCTAATAGATCACATGAACAGCCTATTATCCCTCAAAAAACTTATTTACAATAAAAAGATCCTGTTCAAAATAAATCAACTAAAAGAATATTGAAAAGAAGAAAAAACAATTCAGTACAGCCAAAGCATCATCATACATATAAATCCAGACAATAAGAATCAAAACAAGATGCATTAAAGTACACACACGAAGCAAAGCACAGTATGACAAATGATTACCTCCTCCAAACTTCTTGCCTTCTGGATCCATGTGTCATCCTTTCATGATATATACCATTATCAACTGCACTCTGTCATAAAATATTGTTCTTGGTCCATTAATTTTGGATTGCAAAAATAATAATAATAATCAATTTCAGGATGTTTAAATAGCAAAACATTAACACAAAGAGATGTTATGAAGCAGAAGGAAAAAAAAAATAGTAAATCTGTGGATTTGAAAGTAAATTCTAGTCTTGAAAACTACTTGATTCCTTCATCTGAGATTAATAGTCAATTTTGCAACTGACATTAGGACAGTGAATATTCTTCTTTAAAAACAATGCTCTAATTGGTAGCTAGTCTGTTATGGACCTCTCTTTTACTCTTTTGGTGTCAGTCTGTTGAATATAATATACATACAAATACATGCAAATTCTGACAGATAGTCCCCCCGGGGGGGTCGGGAATGAGAGAATTTTCCGAATAGTACATCAGATATTACTCAAAGCATAAGCATCTATGTTATGTATTCATAATGCGTATTACCTATGCAAGGGTATATTAGACATTAGAGGTTAGTCATTAATTAGCTGTTAGGGTTAGTTAGTTTAGTTAGTTAATAGCCGTTGTATTTTCTCTTAATTCCTCTATAAAAGGAGTAATCCTCTGACACAGTGACTGCACTGCAATATTGAATGAAGTCAGGAATTATTCAGCAATTCTATCTCCCTGGTACACCCCTTCCATTCAATTGATTTTCACCCATTCATATACACATTGAAGATCTTTTAGAGAATATTAGTGATACGAAAAGAAATTTAAGACAAACAATTAATTTGTTTTGCAATTTTATAGGTAGCTTATAATGAACATCTTTATTTTACCTCTGGCGTGCTTGTTTAAAATGACATTTATTAGTTATTAAATTGTTGAATACACAAATCAGGTCTGTGGAAAGTAGTGGAGAACAAATTACCTACTTGAAGAATAAAGGCACTCAAGATTGCCAAAAAGAAAAAAGAAATTTGCGCTAAACTGATAAAGGATCCCAACTTAGATTACAATATTCCATCCACTTAAACACACAGTGAGAGCCGATGCCCTAAAATTCAGAAAACACACACTGGGAGAGCCCAGACTTCCCAGAACGAGAACAGACGATTAAGCTGACTAAAACTAAGTTTTGCTGGTCCCCAAAATAAAAGCTAAAATTAAGTTTCATTGTCAGGCAACTAGAAAAAAATAATGAATCAAAATCCGAAATTGATTTCACCCGACTCAACATATGGCTGAAGAATAGCAAAGAACAAGAATAACAAAGAAGCGACGCGGAAAAGAATCCAAAATGGGTAGCGAAAGCGACAAAAAAAAAAAAAAAAAAAACCTTACCAGAAGAAGTTTGAAGAGGAGGAGAATATAAGTGGCGCGGCGAAGAATGGGGACGACCAGCTGCTGGCGGTGGCTAGGGTCCGAAGTCAGATGAGAATAAAATACATTCAACAAATGCCGAGTCGATCGACTGGAATCAGCAATCAGTAATTCAATAATCAATAAATCATTTTTCCCTCTTTTTTTTTTTCTCCCCCTGAAGCAGCACCATGAATTATATACTCATAATGATTTTTTTCTTACGGGTACTTATTTTGAATTTCTTAAAATCACTTTTATGCCATACACCCTTTTATAATGAGTTTCATTAAAAACAATGGTGCTCTCCACCTCATCTTAATGGGCATGCTAAAACAAAGTCTAAAGTATGCACCAGTTCTTAATATAAAAATTAATTAACTAATTTGAGTATATTAAAAAAATTAGTTAAATTAATCATTTATAATAAATAGTTTTTTTTTTATAAAACATCATTGTTAATCAAGTATATTGACTAGAACTACAATTATTATAAGAACTACTTCAGAATAAATAAATAAATAAATATAAAAAATAAAGTGAATTAGGAGTCTTATATTTAGGTATATTAAGAATAAAAGGTAGTATTAAAATTGGAGTAATGTCGTCCTCCATGACTATTATTTTGACTATTAATTGATCAAAAAAATTATTAAAAAAAAGTATCAGAAATATATAAATGAAGAACCTTATGAAAAAATTAGCATGCTTAAGTCCCTAAAATTATAAATGAATGCTAAGAGGTTTCATTGCCAGCAACAACACTATTAAGTAATTAAAAATATTATATTTTTGTAATAATATATCATTAAAATAGCAACACTTTAATATTTAACAATTTATATATTATTATTTAGGAATCAAATTTTAACATTTACCAATCCTCCAAAGGACTTTCAAATTTTGGATTAAGACTTATAAATTATTTTAATAATTTTTGGATAAAGATTTATCAATATTTGATAAGAACTTATGGGATAAAGGTTTGTCCAACACCCCGGATCTTGTTTCCTAAGTGCATATGGCACCATGATAATGTTTATGATAAATCTAACACCTTAATCTTTTTTTTTTTTTTACATCTAGCACCCTTATCTTATTTTTTTGGTACATTTTTTATGTTTATTTTTGTACAACTAGCAAATGCACCAAAAATAAGATTAGGGTGCTAGATATATCAAAAAGATAAAATCAAGGTGTTGGATTCACCATAAAAAAGTCCAATACTTGAATAACATTTTTGTTTGGATGGAAAGAAAATGAAAGAGGAGAGAAAGTGAAGAATAAAAATACGCAAAGAAATAAGTTTACTCAATCATATAAGGGAAGAAGAGCAGGAGAAAGGAAAAATGGCAAATTTTTTTCTCCATAGGTGGAGAGATTTGGAGAGGTAAATGGTTATATTGCATTTACTAGAAATAAAAATAGGCCAAGCAACCTGTCAGAGACCTATGACGTGGCCTATATTTGGCTTGGCCAAATATAAATAGGCCTAGGCTTTTCTAAAGACATGTTTTTCTTAAGAAGCCAAACCTAGACTCTTTTAAGCCTATCAAATGGCCTAGGTTTGTTATAATTTTTTTTGTATAAGTTATAATTTTGAAGCACTGTTTAGCGACATAATTATGTTTGAGGGTAAGATCCTTTTATGTTAGATCTGATTACAATGGTAAATATTTGCAACTTATTTCCTTAAAAATTTTGTTGGAGGCTTGACTACTTTTTACAATAGACCACAATGGCTGTCTCAACCCCTATCTATTTTTTTGTCAAATTAATTTAGAGTTGGATTAAGGGAGTAAAGTATTGATTATATATGAGCACCCATAGGCTGTGCTTTCACATGATGAAAAAGTGATGTGTTTTAATTTGTACCTCTCAACTCCATCTCAAATATATTTTTTTCTTTCACGATTCCAGTGAAGTGAAAATATAGAGCCATATAACTTTTGACTATCTTAGCTTTTTAAGGTGCTTTGAGGAGCATCATTACATGCCAGAGCAATCGGTAGATCCTTGTACCATTTCTTCAGTTGTTGCAAGTTCAAGAACTTGTAGGAAACTGGAGAATTCCCATGCCTTCGTTTGCTTTGGGAGTTTAAGGTGGTGACACTATTATTCTTCTACTTGTTGATTGGGGTCTGCGAAACTGCGCTTTACTTCCCAAGATCAACTTTCTGTCTCCAAGAAGGAGTGTTGCTTTTCAAAGAAGCGCCCACGGGGTGAGCATCCTACTAATGTTCATTGGTTATTGGGTGTATCTTGCTAGGAATTTTTTTTTAATACCCCATAAGGCACCTACGCATGAGCTTCATCTCTTAGTGGCACAATTCAATGCTTTTGTTCCGCACGTTAGTAAGTGCAAATGATGCTTATGATCATTGGATTTCTCTAAAGTGTAATGAATGGTAGTTACTTAGCTGCTGTGAGCTATAGCTCATACTTTGGTTTTGTGTCCTAGACTTTGCAACATGAGGTCAATGTTGTAGGATGTGTTGCTGCATGATTTCTTTTTATAATCTGTTTCTACTATTAGTTTTTTGATTTTGTTGGTTGTTGTTTTGTCTGTTTGTTTATTGTTTTAGATTGTCAGGAGAATTGGGTTTATACACAAAAAGCCCAATAAGAAGTCCAAGCCCAAGTCTATAACATATTAGGTTAATATTGCTCTGTACATTTGTATTGTAACAGTATATGTGTAATTTTTCTCCTTGCCCTAGGGTTTCACCAACCCTCTATTTATGGCTGCCTCCTGTACACTATTAGTGCATGAAATATAATATACAATTCTCAAATCCCTAGAATTTTGTCTTGGTATCAGGGGAAATAGGCTTGCCGCCACCATGTCTAGTTCACCAAATGAAGATTCCCGTGGATCCCAAGTCACCACGACAGAAACCAACAGCAGTGGAACCAATTCTGGCCTTTCTGTTTCTTTCCTTGCTAGGCTCACCAAAAAATCAAGTCTTCTTTCTCAAGGGTGTTCTGTCCTGTTGGACAGAACAAACTATTCTGTCTGGCTTATGCATGTCTTGCCAATCATCAAAGGCTACAAGCTTGAGGGCTTCATTAATGGCACCAAGCCTTGCCCGCCACAATTTATTACAGAGAATGATGTCTCCAAACTGAATCGACGTTCAAAGACTGGGAGTCTGCTGACCAATTGCTATTTGGCTGGCTCCTGAATACCATGACTCTGGATATTTCCTTTGAGATGACTGGTGTATCCACCTCTACCGGCCTCTGGAATGCTGCAAAGCTGCTTGCTGGAGCACAGATGAAGTCACATCTACTCATGCTGCAGTCCGAACTACAACACACCAGAAAAGGAAACATGAAAATGGCAAAATACTTGACCAATCTAAAGAGCATTGCTGGTGAACTAAAACTTGTAGGGAGTCCTATCTCCGTACCTGACCTTATTATTCAGGCACTTGCTGGCCTTGATGCAGATTATAATCCTATGGTGGTCCAGTTGTCAAATCAAGCTAATGAAATCACTTGGATTGAGCTCCAAGCCTCTTTGGTCACCTTTGAGAGCCGACTAGATCAGCTTAACCAAATAGCAAACCTGTCATTAAATAGCAATTATGTCAATCTTACCCAAACAGACAATGGGTCCAACTACCGAAACAGCTGGCGTGGAGGAAGGAGCTACAGAGGAGGTCATGGTTTCTTTGGT